AATAATTTTTCATTTTTAATAGATATAATTGATAACATTATTTATGCGTCCGGAATATGTCATCAGAACTCTAACCAACGGCAGTGCAGTATTATTGTTACGTTTCTCCGTCTGTATCACGTGACCAGTATACTGCACAACCATTGGAGGGAGTTTTGGTCACGTGACACGAACGTATTTCTTACATATATAGGTTTGGTATAATTTTGACATAGTTTTAAGTCAATTTCTCGAGACAGGAACATCAGATAGATGTCATTCTAGGTATCTCTTGAGATTCTCAGGTTTTAGCATTTACTCCCTTTCATTTTTCCTTTACAGTTCCTTTAAGTTCGATTTTACATCAGTAGATGTCAGTTATGCTAAAGTGCTCTGAAAAGGACTTTAGTTAATTTTTTTATGTCTGATTCACAAGAGTACACAAACAAGCTTTAGATAATTAATTACTTTTACAAGCCAGATAAACGACGCTATCTTCCATATTATTGATCAGATTTAGGTTTCAAAGGTACGGTTGTGAATCGGGCATGCAAGTCTTTTTTTATAGCAGTTCTTGCAGGGGCGTACGGGGGGCGACACCCCTAGACATTCCCATCCTCCCTGGAGGCCTGACATTCCAATCCTCCCTGGAGGCCTAATATATTTCATTTACATGCTTGTCTTGTTAATTCACAGTTTGTCTATTTTAAACAAAAGTTCACCCCGCTAAGCTTAGCCTCCAGTACGGCCCTGAGTTGATGTAAAAGTTATTGTTTTAAAAATAGCAGAAATGAAAATTTTTCTTAATTTATCGGGTTGATGCTTTTTTTGTAAAGTGAATTTCATAAACGATGTGTCAAAATATATGCATGCTTTCCATGCTTTCCGATTACAAGAAAAAACCCATATCTTATCGATTTAGTACATTTTCTTCGTGAGATGTAGGAAGTAGGGGCTAGGGCGTCCCGAAAACTCCGATTTAATATGATTTGTTAAAAAAAATTTAATTTAAGCTTTAGTAATTCCTATATAATAAGGTCTTAGCTAAGTCAAATTTTTAAAATGTTGATTTTTTTTTGTGCTTAAAAGTTCTAATTTGTTAAAAAAAGGTTTTTAATTTAAGTTTTAGTATTTTCTATATAATAAGGTCTTAGCTAAGTCAATTTTATTTAATGTTGATTTCTTTTAGAAAACTTTTTTTTTATTTAATTTGTTAAAATTTGTTTGTTAAAAAATTCTCTACTTAGGTCCTATCACAATCCTATTGGTAGCGTGTACCACGAGCCTGGGGAGGAGGGGTGGGGCTGGCCCCGGGAGGAGGTGGGCGGGGCAGATGGAGGCTGGGTTAGAGGACAATATCCAGAGGAAGATAGGGCGTGGGCGGGCAGGAACCTCCTACCCTATGAAACAATGACAGGAAGTAATTATCCGCCCCACATTGATTACGGTTGGGGTGGAGGCAACCCTGGTAGGTTAATCTATCCTTTTCATTTTCATTTAATAATTACTTTCCAAAAGGCATTTTTCCAAGTAGCAACTACCTCTGGGTATTTTGGCAAGTGGCATCTGCCTAAATGTGCAACTTCCCAAGTTTGTCCTAGCCGTAGCGCTTGGTTCACATTGCATACTGCGGTGCTTCAGAAGGCCTAACCTAACCTTATATGTACATTATGGAGGTTGCCGCCCTTGCAAAAATGCCTTTGGAAAATTACCTAACACCAAATGCATCGTTTATCATCGTTAAACATTATTTCAGACCACGTACAAACATCACAAACCTTGGAGACTACCTCCCTCGGTATAACGTGTACTCGACCCCCGCTCCCTACTCTAACCACTCCCCCTACTCCTCCCAGGGGGCTCCCCCGCCCCTGCACATCAGCCCGACTTCTATAAGGCGGGAGAGGGGAGCAGGAAGACCTTATTCGGCTGATATTGGAAGGTGAGAAAGTAACAGGGAGCAGGATGGGGAGGGAGTGGGGGGGGGGTCCTAAAACCAATTTTTCTGGGGACGTTTATAATTTGTTACATATCAATTTAAGACCGATTGACAAAAAATGTCAATTTTACAGAATTTAATATTTTAAGTGCACCAACTAAATGTGAAATATGTTTTTTTTTATTCTCAGACGCGCAAATTATGAATCTCAATTTGCGAGTTGAAACTTGATTTTAAAATTTATAGGACTATAGACGTAATTTCAAGCTACCCTCCATTTAGATATTTACATGATATGTTCCATTTAAAGCGGGTTTTGCCTGATTAAGGAATTAATCTTATTTTTACAGCTGTAAATCTGGTTCTAGTAAACCTTGAGTATAAATTAGTTTTGACACTAAACTAAGCTGTTGATGCATGCTGCAATGATTTGCAGAACTCGGTCCGAATAGGTAGTCGGGTTTAGCGGAGAGTCTGTACACTGTAACTTCGAGTCTCCTGGAGCTCAATTTTCTGCTGTAAGAATAAGGATTTCACGTCAATCTGGCTCTGTTAAAGATTTAATCTGCCAATGACATGTCAATTGAATTACGAATACAGTCCCGTGAAGAAACAACAATATTTGAAATTTCCATGGTGAAGCATGAAGGAAAGTTGAGGCTAATAGAGACTTATATCCCAGGTTTCTAATAGAGACTTATATCCCAGGTTTCTAATAGAGACTTATATCCCAGGTTTCTAATACGTACAAGTGTAAAATAGTTAATGAATGTTTTACAGAAATATTAGCATCAATCCGCCTAGTTCTTAACTTTTAATTATATTTTCGCTTGCTCCCCCCTCCCCCATCTTCTCTCTTTGTTTGCAAAAGCATTCGTAAGAAAGTCCTTTTTAAGACACCGTTTTAAAAACGTCCCTGATGATTAGGATTAAATTTGTATTCTTTATTTATAAACTATTTTAAAATATATTGTTGAATAAATAGAAATTTAATTTTTTAATTTTTCATTTGAAATTCGAAAGATTTTTTGCATTAAAAATTTTAAAAATAAATCTCTGTAAGTCTGATGTCACAGAAAGAAAATGAATAAGTACCAAACATAAAAACATTTTCTTAAAAGCATCCTTGCATTTATTCTATTTTACTTTGAAAGGAAAAACATATTTGTCATAAGTACAGCTTTTCGTTGAAATAAATACAGGTAGGGCGGCAGGGGGGGGGGGGGCAGATCATGTTCAGTAAAAGGGGAGGGGTGTCTAACTATACTTTCTGTAATATTAACACTTTTATATAGTTGGGATATCTAATTTGAATATCAATGTGTTTAAACAGTAGACAAGTTTTTTTCTTTCTGTGTACCATTTATGATTTAACCAATCAAAACTGAAAATCATTGGGCTCTGGCCAAGTTGTATCTCCCTTCTATTTCATACTCCTTGGCACTGGCGTATCAGAAGTTTTTGAGAAGTCGAATTTTCATCTTCTTCCCTTTTGGGTCCGCTTTAAAACATTCAAATTTGTTGACTTTAAAATGTTTTAAAAGATGTTAAATGTTCACCGCACAGCAAAATCTGATTTTCTATAGTTTCCCTTTTTACATTATGCAAAATTTTACTCTTACTAAAGAGATAAACCAAAACGATTTATGTAAACGAGTTTACCAATAGTTGTTAAATATCTTTTTGGTTAATATCTTCGATCAGAGGGAATTTTAATAATTTAATGTAATAAAAAGCACAAATATATTTGCAACCTGACAGAATAAACATTTGATGCTTCAAATTTATACCATATGATCTAACAGAAATCATTGTTTGAAATATCAAAGGTCTGCGACATCAAGTTGCAAAGATAAATAGATTAAGAAATCAGTTCTTCTGTCTAACATAATTTTAAGATATTTAAATTAATAGTTTGTAAGGTATAAGTTCTTCAACGGGGGGGGGGGGGGGGTAGTTAAATTAATGAGAGATGGGAGTGGGTTGATCAAAGGAGAACATATTTTCTAATGGTTTATCTTTATATTAGAGAATGGGAGAGACATTTAGGAACTTGAGAAAATAAAAATAAAAAAATACGCAATTAAATATTTTCAGATTGTTGTCAGTTCAAGAAGGAAGAGAGGGAAGTGAAGGAAGTGAAAAGTCACAAAAACAAAAAGGTTTTTATTCATTAATTTATATCAAGACTAAGCTTTTAGGGCGCTTCGCGCCCATCCTCTATTTTGTTTCAAGAATTATGTAAAAGAAATTATTTTGAATTGAATAAAGTAATTTTCTACTCACTGTATACTCGGAAAGCATTTGTATTTTTGTCTAACTCCAACTTTACCAAATTAAACGTAGTGAAAAGTCACAAAAACAAAAAGGTTTTTATTCATTAATTTATATCAAGACTAAGCTTTTAGGGCGCTTCGCGCCCATCCTCTATTTGACCTTTTAATTGTGGCTCTATCGGTGAGCATCTTCTCTTTGTACCGTATAAGACAATAAGAACAAAAAAGTTGACAGATTCTCAAATATTTTTATACACCTTTTTGTAATTCTGAGCATCCATTAACCTTCCCTGGGGTTGACGTCTCTCACAAAAATTTCGTCCTAGTGGTTCAACCGTTTTGACGGTAATTGGATACAAACAGACATACAGAAAGACAAGCTATGTATAGAATGAGAAAATCAGCTCAGTTTCAATTAAATGATTTATAAAAAGAGAAGATTATGGTAATTTATAATTCAAGTCATTCTGAAAGTGACTGTTTATAGAAAGTTAGAAACTAACTTTTAAATGAACCTATTGAGTATTAAGCTTATTCTATCTTCAAAGGCATCGTGTCGTAATTTCAAGTTCATAGATAGGGGCCGNTTCCAACCCCTCTTTCCTTTGATTTTGCCAATATAGTTGAGATAGTTGAGTGTAATACATGTCCAGCTTTTTAAGGCCAGCTCAGCTCATTGATAAAAATAGACCTCTAACTTTAACATTGTTAGGGTGCTAGGGAGGTTTTAAAAATTGTTGACAAAGTACCTCAGAAAATGTTAGAACAAAAAATAGTTGTTTTTACTTTTGAAGAATATTAAAATGCGACACATGTTAATACATCCAATTTCAAGGGCTTTTCAAATCCTTTATGTGAAACCCAGTTAATATATTTTTTTTAGTTTTTAACCTCATTTGATTTCTCCGGGAATTTTGTATTTTGTTATGAACTCGGAAATTTAAAATAGCAAAAATAATCAAACTATAGAACATTTCATATTAGATAAATTGCAATGAAACAGAGCCATATATTCCATTATGTTCCAAGTTCTAATGAAAATAATGAAATTTTATCTACGAATTCACTACAATGTAACTTTACCATGATTAAATTCCACCTTCCTGGCATCTGATCTTCTCTGAGGAAATGAAAATAATATCATAAAAAGTTTGAAAACAGAATTAATACAAAGATAATTCTCCATATAAAGTTATTTTCTTTTATAAGTTAAGAGACTTTTAACTTTCTTTTTATCTTTATAGGTATGCATATGTTTATTTTGATTTTGATTTTTAAGTGGAAGGGGGGCGGGGAGGACAGACAGATTGAAGCTAAAGTTTTAATTCTTAAGCTTTATTTTTTCAGTGCTATTATTTTTTTTATACAATATTTAACTGAATTTAAATATTTGAATGATCCCATCCCCTATTTTCTACGAACATTATTAGATTTTCCATTCACTTCTGGACAAAATTTGATATTTCAGTAACCAATTCCCGTGGATGGTTCAGTCAATATTCCAAATGCCTCTAACTCTGGTTAGTCCGGGGTGAATTAGGTCTTTCCACTTATAATTTCCACTTATTTGTTTTCTACTTTTATTAATTGAATGAAATCTGATAATCTTCGAGAAATAGAATGTTTCACTCAAAGTAGGATTTTTCTAAGAATAATAGCATTCCTTTGTGAAAGGACGGTTTTTGGGCCTTGTTAAATAAAAATGACAACATCGAAAGCTGGACACAGAGACTCTACCAAAATTAAACCGTACAATAGTTAAAAACTCTTTGGAATTCATTAAAAACATTTTCATATAAAATTTCTTTATTGAAACCAGATTTTATACAAGGAATTAAAATTTTGAGATGAAATGAATATGTTTAAAATTATATACAGTATGCACAATGCTCATATCAATGCCATAATTTATTTTTGAATATTTGTTAACACTTTATGGGTTAAGTATAAAATGTATTGTATTGTTTTTGAAGAGCTTCTTTATATTTTTCAAATCTTTCTTTAATTTCATCCTCGGCAGCTTTTTCAGCCTATTAAAAATTATCATGGTTTAAATAATAAAAAGTTACTGTAAGCCTAGCTTTAAGTGACCCTCCATTAAAAGATAACAATGCCCGATTTACAACCGTATTTATCAAGTCAGAAAGCCTTGTTTTTTCGTTTTTCTGACTTGATAAAGTGTTTATTTCTGTAAATAATCCTTTTTTTAAGCAAGAATAGCGCAAGTGACTTTTGCAGACAACCCACAAATGAAAATAAACAAATAGAAAATAAACATTGATATTTAATTTATACTTGATTAGACAACGCTTTAAAGGGTGCTGTTGTAAATCTTGCACTGTCATCTTTGAATGGTAGGTAACTTGAATTTATGTTTACATTCCGTTTAAATTTTAGTTTCTGTGACATATGCAGTGCTTAGGATCCGGATCTGCAAAAATATGAGGAAACACGGATCCGGATCCAAGGGGCAAAATATCTACCAAAAACTGCAAAAAAAAAACTTTTTTACTCAAATCTTAATTGCTGAAAAAGAGAGATTATAAAAATTTCCTGATCTCTGAATGGTTTCACAAGAAAATTAATTTGACAATTCTGCTTTGTTAAAAAATTTCAGTTAAACTTAGAAATGGTCATTACTTGGATTTTTTCTAGTGCGGATCCAGGATCTGGATTTGTATCAAAATTAAATGGATCCTAAGCATATGGCTTAGCTACAATTCCTGAATTTTATATTCACTGGAAAACATTCAATACAAATCCATTTTGTGTGTGTTCATGCTTTATTCATGAAAAACTCATATTATAGCAATCTAATGTACCCGTGTGGGGAGATTTTTTTGGCTTCTTATTAGTCAGACCTTGTAGATATTTAAAAGGAATTAACCTAATCTGTTGTACTATGAAAAAAATATTAATTTTTCTGAAGGAATTCATGAATATAATAAAACTTCTAATGTTGAGCTCTTAGATCAAAGAATACCACAAGTTTTTTGCGCAATTGTTTTTGTTGCAGCTACATCACTAATGTTTTTTTCAAAAAAATTTTCTTGAAATTACAATTTATCAATTCCAAAGACTATGACATGGAACAGATTCTTTGCTTTTACAAAGCTTTTGTTTTCTTCTCTCATTAAGCAAAAAAATCATCAGTTGCATAAACAATGGTATCTGTAGGGTTAATAATAGATATTGAATTTTTACAAAATTCTAAAATTTACAGTATTTAAATAACTTAAACTATCCACATGTAAATTACCCCTCATCTCCAGATTAAAAAATTCTCATTAATTTCCAAGTTCTAACCTGATCTAATTCTGCAATATGTTGTAATAGTGTTTTATCTGCTTCCATTTCATCGGTGGAAATTGTTGAATCTTTGTTATATATGCTTGGATTGATGTCCATAAATACCAGTTTTTTCCTTAAGAAAAAATCCAATAAAATCATTTTTAAGCTGATTGTAGAATATATATGTCTCTTGAAGGCCAAAAACCTTTGCATGTTTAAAATTATGACAAACACTAACTTTAAAAGTTTCAAGTGAACCTCTATTCAACTATGGCAAAGTCAGGCTCACAACAGTACCCTTAAAAGCTTTGTCTGATTTGTATGAATTAGATGTCAATGTTAATATTTTTATAAACTGATTATTTTAAAGTATGATTTTTCTACAAAAGTGATTTTTGTATTTATACGGCAAGAAAATATAAGGGACTTTTCAGAAATAAACACTTTTAGATAAAAAAACACTATATTTTACCATATTAATCAAAAAAAAGGTGTTAAGGGGACCATTGTAATTTGTACATTGGCATCTTTGCATGAAGGGTCTTAAAGCTTGACTGGAGGTTGAAAATCAAAAAACCAATATAATAAAATAAGACATTCATGTATAATATGTTGCATATAGCCGGCCAAACAGTTAGACCAATTGGGATGAATTTTTTTGTGAACACTCACAGGTGGCAGGGGATGTCTAGACTAAACAAAATTTGAAAATTTTTTTCTATTATTTTTACGGGCCCTTCTGCTAGTAAATAATGAAAATAATAAGTGCACAACATCACAATAGAGATTATCTATTCATTCTAATTCTTGTTAATTAATAAAGATTCTACATAGGTAAACAATTAAAATCTTACCTTGCAAAATCCTTCATCCATTGTAGACTGAGAAAATTTGTACAATTTATTTAAAAAACAAGAAAGAATTGGAGGATATAATCCAGTCACAGGAATATGTTGGATAACATGGGTGACTGAAACAGCAAATAATATGCATAATGAACTGGCTGGTAAAAGGCTTTTAAATCAGTAAAGTGTAAAAAGGCAAAAGCATGCATTAATATACAGGATGCTAACAAGCAGGAAACACTATATAATGCACTATTGAATTGATTTGGGTCTTAGATAATGGAAGCTTTAATTTTGGCTTTAAGAAATTAAGACCCAGTTCTAAGGTTTTAATTTTGAGCGAGTTTCTTGTCCAATTTTTAAATATCCCCCCCCCCCCCCTAGAACATTTTATGAGCTGTCCCTGTATGGATTTGGAAAGTCAAAAGAGAAAAGTTTTGAAAATAATGTTAGCTATAGTTCTAAATTAAAAACTAAGCTAAAAAAATTAAGTCTATTAAAAGCATTACAACTAAGAACTAGTTAACTACTTTAAGTGGAAACTTGTTTTCTCCCTTAATTGGAGAGGTTTCTCAAAATCGTCAAGCTTTCTGAAGTTAGTCCCCTTACAATGGACTAATTGGATATTTTACCAAAATGTTTACAAACTTGATATAGGAGTAATTATTTGGAAGAAACTACAATTTTATTTATCTATAGTTTTAATCCATTTCCCTGCTCACAGTCTTTTCTAAAAAGTAAATCAAATTTTTTAAAGTTTCATGAAACTAAAATTAAATTTCAAATTTTTATAGTTGGTATGCAGGTTAAGTTTTTCTTCTTCATTAAAAGTTTTTTTATGTAAACGTTCACATAGCGAACAAAAGTATTTTCGGAGAAATTTGATATAAAAAGTTTTGACAACCAACCTTTCAAAGAGGGCAAACTTTTCCAATTCATCTCTCATTCTAAACTGTCTAAATATAAAAAAAGAAAATTATTGTGGAAGATATGTTAGAACTAGCTTGTTAAATATTTAACTGTTGATTAAAAATTTATGCCTGGAAAATGAATTAATTTTATTCTTTATTTTATCTTATTTCTACTGTAGACATCTAACAATTGTGTATATATATTTTTTCAAATTTTTAGCTAACAAGCGATGTTTGTGAATCTAACCTGTAAATATGAAAAACCACTTGCTCTGCAGTTGTATTGCTTTTTACCTGAACAATAATGGTGCCACAACCAAATTGATTTTTGATCCCAGTAACAGGGGGTATATAATTGTAAGAATTATTTTTGATAATGGGGGGGGAAGTTGGACATGAAAAGGCAAGTTTTCTTCATCCTTATTGATACTTTTTATCCAAAAATTTAATTAAAGGGACCATGTACTTATTTGGGTAATTTCATAGTAAACTAAACAGCCATTTAGCTGTTAATTGGTATTAGTCTTACTTTTCTAAGATAACTGTGGCCAGAGAAAAAGCTGATATTTCAGAATTCCAGCCCAAAGGTATGGTACCTTTGCCGTAAGCACTAAATTAAACGATTTTCAATATCGCACCAGAAAATTTAAATGATCATATTTCAATGCCATTATATATTAGCCATTATATACTAAAATATGTCAACTTTTTTATTTTAGTTAACAAGAAATTTACGTTTTTTGGTGTTAAAACGCTTTAAATGTATATTCAAAGACGACATTCCCTACGGCTATCTATTAATCCTTACGCGATTTAGGTTGGTAGATTCAGCTCTGTGTTTGATATAAATAAAATATAATATCTTACTTGTAATGATACATTTGGGAAAAGTTGGATATAGTCTATTTTATAAAATTAACATTGAATAAATTGTGAACCCTGTCTGGTGGCTAAAATATGCTAATCAAATGAAAAATAAGTTTACGTCAGGAAGGGGCCAAGGGGGGGGGTAGTTATATAGTTGCACAACCCTCTTTCTCACCACCCCTTGCTGTCCCTGTGGCCCTCCCAACATAGCTCCGGCCCAGTGGCATATTCAGAATCAACACAGGGGGGGGGGAGGGTGAATCTGTCAAATACACTATCTAAATAAAGTTTGTAATTTCTATGGTTTATACAGTCTAACCCATTTATGTTATATTTAAATCGCATATTTGTGCAACTTTGCATTTTCATGCCATGTAAAAAAAACATCTACAATGAACTATTAGATACTACAGTAAAATTTTGAAATTAAAATGTGTTTGTAATCCATGAAATACACAAAAAGCATTAAATAGTGTTTAGGTAAAGGCACTGAAATGTTGAACGATTTTGGCTTTTTGCTCCAGCCAATCTTTGAAAAGTAAGACAAATACCAATTAATAGCTATTAAGCTATTTAGTTTTCCATGAAATTACCCAAGTAAGAATTCTAAAAGGGGATGAGGGGGGAAATGATTTCTTAAGAAAACAATGCTCTGAACCTTTACCACAAGGGAAAATGATTGATTAGAAACAAATTTTTACCAAGAAAAATTCTAAATGGTAATTGTTTCTAAACTTTCATTGTTTTTCTAGACCTGCACAGTGCACATAAACATGGGCTTGATTGATGATAGCAGGATTATAAAACAATATTTAAGCCTTACAAAATATCATTTCAATTAAACAAAATTCAACACATAATCTTCCAAGCACACTGTTAATTATTTTGTAAGTTAAGTTAAATTACTAGATCTTCCAGAATTCTAAATTGATAAATTAAAGGTAAAGATAAAAGAATAGAAAATCAGAGTTTTAGTGTAAATTTTTTCTTTACCTGTAAAACCTCACTTGACAAGTTTTTAAAGGTAAATTTAGTTGCAAGGATTTCTCTTCTATCTTCAATCTGAATCTCGGAAATCATTGAAACACTGTTTCTGAAAAAATTCATTTAAATTTAAAAAAAAACCTCATTCTGGTATATAATGAATTTCTTTTAAGTTTTTTCTCTGTTAAATTTCAAAATATATATTAAAACTAGAAATAACTGGAAAAATCTATCAACATTCATGGTTCAAAAGAGAATGTACATTGCAGCTTTTATAATAGGATGTATTTGAATTCAATTATTCAAACAATTAAACCAGCCACCTCCCCATCCCCCGTCTCCTTTCAAATACACATGAAGGCAAAATAATTAAAATTTAAAATTCCATTTGGTTTTCAATCTATTTTGAACTACATTTCAAATTCAAATCAGATAAACCATGAAAAAATCCTTTTATTAATCTAATATAGAGTAATTCTGTTAAAGACACCCTTGCAAAAAGGTTTTCATGTGCTCTATTCGTATTTAAGACAATTAATGACAAACTCAGACTGTGTCTACTTTTCTCATTTGGAAAAAATGAACTTATGAAAACATTAAAAGTTTGGGAATAGAAAAATAGGCATACTTTTCTAAATCATCATCATCAAATCATCAATTTATGTTGTAAAAGTACCTGTAACATATAATGCAGAATGCTCCTTATGTATGAAGATGAGGAGAAGGTACAGATTTTTCAAAAGGATTCTGAAAAATGCTTTACCTGAGAGAAAAGTAAACTCTTATACCTCCACTGAACCTGTTTCCTTCAAATTTAACCTAAAAAAAAACAATTAAAAAAATATAGAAATGAACTGATATGAGGCCCCCACTCACTTAGCCTGAATAAGGGGGGGGTATGCCTCCCCTTCAAGAAAGTTTGCCCCCTCCCCTGTAAGGGGGGACGAGCTTGGTCATTGTAGTCATTGGGCATCCTTTAAAGTTTTATGATTGATTGAATGGTTAACTACCAAACCCCAAGATAAGCCCAGATTAGAAAGATGTATAAATTGACTATAAGCAAGCATGTGATTATAGAGAAATGGACTTCATTGCAGCATACTACTCTGACCAGAGATACCAAAAAAAAATATATATATAAATTGGAGAGATTGCTGAGCTACCAAACACCAATTTGAATGCTCAATTAACAAATCAATTCAAATACTCATGAATCTTGATCTTTGTACAGTGGTATGTAGTTTAATTACTTAGATTCAGTTAGTTTGGTCCCTGAATGTTTAAAGCTCCTAAATGGGGTTGAAAGTAATAAGGCCATTTTTACCCTAAGTTTTTTACTATGGCCATACAGTGAGTTATATCCTTCTATGGCTTCTGCAAGGGTTTCCTCGCTGGAATCACTTACCTGGAATATTTTAATTGTGCATGATATATGTACAGTTAAATCTAAGGTTTTTAGTACATAAACACTGAAGGAATTTTTTTCCCTTACTGTTCCTCTGAATCTATTCTTACTCAACATGAGTATTTTTTACACTGATGTAATTTTCAAGCTAAAAAATCCTCTTTAATGAAGGAAAACTTGGCAAAAGCAAAATAGGATATAATCCGCTCAATATTTCCTAAAAAATTAAATTTTTAGAAAAAGAAATCTTTTTCATTTTAAAATAGTATTCTGTTGACCAAACTTTTATATTTGAAATTGTCTTCAGAGTTTAGTGTTCATCCTACCCTTTTGGTTTAATATAAATGATCATATATATATATGCATTTTTTTCTGAGATTTTTTTCATTCTTTTTTTTGTGTTCAGGGGTTAATTTGTCTAATATTTAGTGGAAAGAAATAATTTTCCAAAGTATGTGTGGAAAGAACAATTTTTTTAAAGAAAATATATACCACTGTTATAGTAAGATAGTGCGTACAGTAATAATTTGCTTGGAAACGGAATAATTTTTTGTTTCAAGAATTATGTAAAAGAAATTATTTTGAATTGAATAAAGTAATTTTCTACTCACTGTATACTCGGAAAGCATTTGTATTTTTGTCTAACTTAACATAGATTTAGAAGTAGATAAGAAGCTTTCACAAATTATTTAAGAATAAAAATAAAGTCCTGGGGAAAAAGAAATATTAAATTTACTTTACTTTTTGTGTCTCTTGCTAGAAAGAAGCTGAACATTTGCCTCAAATTTTTAATTTTTAATTATTCTTATCATTGCAATATTAAACGCTTTACACAACCAGTGGCCGAATTTAAAGAATTTAAGCAGCGGTTTAAATTTAAGCCGCGGCTTAAATATGGTTGGTTCCACTTAAAATTGTATCAAATGTTTCAAGATTTAAGCCGGCGCTAAATTTAAACCGGGTTTTGGCGGATTTTGGCAGATTTAAACCGCGGCTCAAATTCTTTAAATTCCATCTCAGGTTGCAGAGATTTAGGAATTAGAGTTAAAGACAAGTAATGTGTTTCAATTTAGAATATGAAAGGCAAAAACATTTGATTTGAATTCATTTGCTTATTACTCAGGTTATTTTAATTCTTATTATCATTATCTTAATGCTAAAAACTTCCATGGCAATGTAGGTCACCTGTGTTGATTATAAAAAAGGGACTGTTAGCATAATTTCATGTGACACACCATGCAAAGATGACAATTCCAATTTACAGTCCATTAAAGCTTTGTCTGATTACTTACTTTGGTACTTGTGTTGTGATTTACAGAAGACCTTTTGGTCCATGGTGCACACATCTTTGATGTCCTCTGGGAACTGTGTGACTTTTCCGCTAGGTTATTCATCAGGTTGCTGGATAACACCGTTCCTAATAACACAGAAAAGTAGTTTAAATGGCAATCTTCTTCAATTTAGTCTTAAAACCGGTCACATTCCAGAGGAAAATTACTCTTAATAGAAAAGAAATTTTGTCTTATTTCTATTTAAATCTTGGCATCAAACTCTCTTCTCTTTTTGCCTTTCACGGCCATACCAGCCTCAGGAATCTGGTAAATAACCAGATTTTCTCGTCTACTATCTCTCTCCCTCAGTTCCTTGTAGACTGCTTCATTATTATTTTTCTCATTTTTCATGACCTCCAGCTGGCGGTCAAAACCATCTATCCTGGTTTTCTGTGTGGCTTGCTCTACTTGTAGATCATTAATATGGGTATTCATCTGTTGATCCTGATTATTGTGAATAAGATATCCATGTTGAACAGATGTTACCTGAGTTGTAAAAACTTCTGTAGAGTAGAGAAGAGAAGAGAAGTAGAGGATGGAAGAGGGAGAGGAAGGGTAACACTGTACACTGTAATAAACAGAGACAGAGTCACCAGAAGGGTTTTTGCCTGTAGTAAATTTAAAGTAGGTAATAGAGATGAATTAAAAGGGGGAAACATAAATCCGGACGAAGGAGAGGTTTTAGAGAGTAATGTTGGGTAGAAGGTAGTATTAGATATAAGGGAAATATAGACCCCCAGAGAAAAAGAATGAACCAAGAGGAAGGTAAAATGGATGGGAAGGAGGAGTGAATGGAAGCTGGAGAGAACCATCTGTGTCTATGTTTAAATAAACAGAAAATATTTGTAAAATTCGCGAAATTATTTTTCCTCCATAAGTTATCGTTATGTTTGCCTTGCAGGCAATGAAAAACTTGCTGTTTGATGTCCAATTTATCATTTTGAAAATATAATCCCCTGAAATAGAATGATTTATATCCACTGCGCAAAGAAAAATATCAGAACTTGTTTAATAAAGAAAAATACTGTTTGATCAAAATTGTAAAGAAAGTTTGGCTTGAAACTGTTTTATGTTCTCCTTTCAACATATTGGCAGTAAATTGAAGACAATCAGCTAGAAAATGGAATAAACTTTCTTATTTTCAAACTAAATTGAACTTTTGAACAAACTTTTGATTTAGAGATCAGATAGATAAAGATAAATATGGATTAGAAATATTTTATACATCATAAAGGAAATGCACAAACTTTCTAATTATTATATCTTTGCAACCTGATCTCTTCTACTTTTAATAGATAATTAATTATGAACTAAACTGAAAGGTTTAAACCACCATGCATTAGATTCTAAAGATAAAAGAATTAGAAAATACGAGTTTTGTCAAGTGATTAGTTTCTTAGAGGGTGTTTGGATATTAACTGTGAAAAGTGGGTTAGCCCAATTTCACCCATTTCACCCTGAAAGAAAACACTCCATAAATATGTGTTTTGAGCTGAATCAGTTCAGGTTGAATTTAGTTGCTGATTCATCTTGTGTGTCTAGTGCAGGCACCTTAACCTATAGTACTAAAGCTGACAGTTAAGCAAACTGCGTGGATGTCTAATAAAAAGATTAGCCGAAATATGATTGAAAAATGTACGAAAAAGAAGAAAATGAAGAACAAGTAATGTAGAAATGTCAAAATATTTGCATCTGCTATCATATAAGTATTTAAAGAAAATTGTTAAAAATTTAAAATTTAAAAATAAATATGAAAAAAATATGTTCATGTATCCTTTACATTTCAAAATTTGATTATTAGATACAGCAAAATTCATAGTTCATTTCTAAAATTTCAGTTTATAGATTAAAAAATAATAGTTTGATCAGAGTAATCAGTTCCTTTGACCCCCACTACGTTCGGTATGAAAACCCTAATTAAAAAATCTTCAACTCCTAAATACAATACAATACAATTCTGGCAATAATAATTATCAATCGCACAGGGTTGTTTATAAATGATAATTTCTTGGAAAATGTTAATCTTTTTTTAATTTGTTCCAGGTCATAAAAGATCAAGTTCCTACGGCAGTACCGAATCCTCTGGTCATCTTGATCCAAGGTAAAAAAATTATATTTTGGGTGATATTTGGCCCCAACTGAATTATAACATTTCTTCTGAACTTTTTAAGTTTCCCACTAAATTTAACTCGATCAACAAGATTTTTTTTTTAATTTTACTATTTTACTATTTTACTGAAACACTTTTTTGCTACAAAGAACATTTTTAATAACTTTGAAACCTTAATCATTGTCAAAACCGAAGACAGTTTGAATCAAGATTGCACACAAGAACAAAAATTAAATCAGTTTTTGTTTTCAGGTACCCTGGAATGAGACCTGCTGCCAGCTATTCGAATTTGCATAGACCACCAAGTGGAGAAGATTTTTTTTGTAAGTTTTTTGTTCTGATATTTTTTCAAATTTGTTGCTCTACCATAGCAACAAAGCGGCTGAGCACAAAGAACCAAAAACAATTGTTTTAAAACAATAGTTTTTGGATCGTTTTTCTTTAAATTTTTGTTATAAGGATAAAAATATTGCTTACTCTAATATTAGCAAACTTTTACATAATACTCTTTTGAAAGTTCACAGAATTCATTCTCCACTTCCTTTATGTGACCATCCTATACCCGTTTTCCCATTCCCTCACCTTATCTTTAAGGCCCCTTCCTTCACACCCTCCATACCCCTGGGGGGGGGGCAACAAGGAGAAATCCGGGAACTTTGCCAGATTAAAATCTTCCGCAAAACTGAGGGGGATTATTTATCTTTATTATTTAAATTTAATTTTACAGAGGTTTGAAACTAAATTTGACAAATACATTTTTAATTTTCAAATTAAAATTTTTTTTACCCCCTTTACCCCTCTTTGGGAAAATTATTTATTTCCTGTAAAAATATTTAAGATTCCCCCTTATCTGACTCATACTCAAAGATACAGTTCAAGCCTAAACCTGAGAGTGATTTATAGAGATATTTTCCCCCTAGATAATGTTGTCAAAACTCCTGATACATGACATTTTTGAAAGGAAAACAGTTGCTTAAAAATTTCGTCTACAGTGATCTTTTTGTGATACGTTTATCTATTTTTAAAATGTAAAGATAAGTGACATTTTTATTTATTTATTTGTTTATTTGTTTTCAAATCATCTTCAATTTTCAAGTCAGAATGTCACCCCGAATGCGCGTAAGTTCAGAAACGCGCTCAAGAATTAATCCTGCCGAGATGGACGCGCAACTTAGCCGATTAAGGGGTCAGCGTGCTGGTCCCCAACCTGACCTGAGGCCAGTTGAGGCTGTTCAACCAGCTGCTGACCCCTTGAGGGGCTTTAGGGTCCCCTTCACTATTCAAACCATGAATATTACACAAACTAACTTTGTCTGTAAGTTTTGTTTAATATCAAAGTAGTAGCATATAAAAAGTAGTAACATATGAAAAGTAGTAACATATAAAAAGTAGTAACATATAAAAAGTAGTAACATATAAAAAGTAGTAACATATAAAAAGTAGTAACGTATAAAAAGTAGTAACATATAAAAAGTAGTAACATATAAAAAGTAGTAACAGACAAAAAGTAGTAACATATAAAAAAAAGAATTAAAATCGCAACAATTTGAAAAAAATATTAGTCTACATGCATTTACTTATTAATGTGTAGGAAACAACGTCAAATTTGTAATTCCCCCAACAGTAGTTGTACAAACTTGTATCTTCTTTTGAGTTGAAATGCGCGAATTTTTTTTACTAAAACTTTGAAAATTATGAAATTCCGGGTCATTCTTATGAAATCAGTCAGATTTTGGAAATCATGGTAATAAATTTCGTGGATTTAAATAAATATAATAAACTATGACACTGACTTCTAAAACGGTGGCTGAGTTTATGAAATATGACCCTTTTTTACAACAATTAATAAATGAAAATCTCAACTACAGTGTTTTTGATTAATTATTGAAGAATTTGTACTTTGAGTTTCGGTGTTGTTTATTTATAATTCAGTCGTTTTCTGCATAAAGTAAACACTTTTAGGCTAAACGACATCAGATGCACTTGTATTTAGAGCCAACTGAATTATTAAAAAGAAATTTTTTGTCAATCCGATGTCAATTGTCTATTTACAATTTTGGATTAAATGAAGTAAAAAACACAACAAAAATATAAGAGAGTTTGTCTGTTCTACGCCGACTACGCGCAACTCCTTTAGGCTACTGCTTCAGGGTTATTGTGAACGAAAAGCGTATCAATCTTGAAAAGACGACATCTAGTGTCCTATCTGCTTTTTTAGTTAATCTATGTATACCTATTTATCAGCTTATCTAATCTATTCTTTTTCTTTTTAGATCTACTGTTGGTCATATTATCAATTTTTTTTAAAATCTAATTTTAATCATATTATAGATCTCCATTCAACACTGGTTTATTTAGATGGACGAGGGGACTCGATGCTAGATGCTGCATGTGATTTACTCTCTATGGACCTACGACCAGTCCCTCCACAACCTAACTGTCCTCAGTCCATGAAAATTTATGAAGATCACAGGTTTGTTACAATCAACCAGTCCTCTCTAAGTAAACTCTCCTCAGTCCATGAAAATATATGCAGATCACATATGTTACAATTAACAATTCCCCTTCAAATAAACGGTTCTTAGTCCATAAAAATATATGCAGATCACATGTGTCTTACTATAAACTATTTCTCTCTAAATAAACGGATGAAAATATATATGCATATCACATGTGTCATAAACGTTTCTTAGTCCATAAAAATATATGCAGATCACATGTGTCTTACTATCAACCATTCCCCTCTAAATAAACGGTCCATAGTCCATAAAAATATATGCAGATCACATGTGTCTTACAATCAACCATTCCCCTCTAAATAAACGGTCCATAGTCCATAGAAATATATGCATATCACATGTGTCTTACTATCAACCATTCCCCTCTAAATAAACGGTCCATAGTCCATGAAAATATATGCAGATCACATGTGTAGTTACTATAAATCATTCCTCTCTAAATAAACGTTTCTTAGTCCATAAAAATATATGCATATCACATGTGTAGTTACTATAAACCATTCCTCTCTAAATAAACGTTTCTTAGTCCATGAAAATATAGGCAGATTGCAGAACATAGGTTTGTTACAAAAAACATTTCTCATCTAAGTCCATGAAAGTTTGTTACAATCAACCGTTTCCTTAACTGAAAGGTATTTGATAATCCTTGAAGAAATTTGAAAATTTACTGTTCTTCCGTCCAAGAAAATAATTTTAAGAGTCCGAATTTAATGAATTCGAGCTGCGTCTCAAATCCCCAAAAACCGGTTTCAATTGAGCACCGACTTACATCTTGAAACATTGAATGCGATATTAAGTGGAACCAACCATATTTGAGTCGTGACTTAAAGGACCTCACTAGTCTCCTGGAGTTTGTAATAACTCTTGTAATAATAGAGATAAATGGTGCTGACTTTGCACCTATATTCTTTTAATCCATAAGGGGCATAACAAAATTTCAAATTTTTTTTTTCTTGATCAGGGGCGTAGAAAGGGGGGTATTTGGCCCAAAACAGGTATTTATATATATAAATATTTTTTTGCCGATGTATCATTATTGTTTTCAAGATTTTAGGTCTGACAGAATATTAGACCATGACAAAATAGCCTAACAAGGACAGATTCAGCTTGCAGGAGGAGCCCTGTATCGTTCAGGGGCTAAAAAGCCAACAGTCAGGGGGGTCCTTTGATCCACATCAGACTCCTGAAAAATGAAGAGGAATCAGTGCCAATAATGCAAAATTAAATAAAAAAAGGCAAGTAAAATTCTAAAAATGTTTTGTAGTTATTTGAATTGATAAATCATAAATATATACTTCTTCAGGGGCGTTAAGAGGAAAAATATCACTAAACACTCCCCTCCTGGATTTCATTAGTCTAAAAGTAAGAAAATAATAATTTTATAATATTTTAAACCATACNCGCAAAAATATTTCAAAGAATGGGGGGGGGTGGCTTACACTGTAAATCATGGAGGGGGGAGGGGGAACTGACTGACCACAGTATTAGACAGATAATGAATACAAAAGTTTATACCTTAGGTTGATGGCCGCCGAATATATGAGAATAAAAGCAGAACAAGCTGATTTACTCAGATATAAACAGGAACTACAAGAGAAACTTTTACAGGTCAAATAATGACGACATAATCCTAAACTAGTGACTCTTCATATACAGGGTGTTCCACAACATATTAGATCGTCAATAGCTCTAAATTACGATTTTCGGGATTAATCAGAAAATTTAAGAAGAACGAATCATTTGAAAAATTGAATAAGCCTAATAAAAAGATTTCTTGCAGAAAATGAGAGATTTTTCAAATGTTATATGTTTATTTTGGCGTTAAAGCTTGGAGATAATCTAATATGATATGGGACGCTCTGTACGTGCAATGCTAATCTAAATAAGACGGAATCTTGTAAATTGATTTAAGACTTAACTCTATTCCTGCTGCTATTACCCTCAAGTTATGATTCTAAATTGTCCAAATGAACATAAAATACAAACCCAGTTTATTAAATAAGTTACTTTTCAAGTTGAAACGAGTTGCTTTATATATCTTACAAGCTGAAGTGTCCGGCGTTGCCCGTGGAATAAAAAAAATCGATTTTTTTAGTTCATGTCACTCCCTGGCTACCCATGAGTGTCCACAACTTTCAGCTCATTCGGTCCAGCCGTATGGCCGGCTATAGGGAACATATATACGAATGTCTTGCTTTATTATATAGATATTTCTTAATTTTCGTCTTCCTCCTCTACCATAGTTAATAGATCTCACTATCTCTATATTTCAGGCCGACTCTGAAACATTAACCAGTGAGAAAGCTCTAGAATATACTCAACTTAAATCAGAAAAGGTAGAAAATATCATTTTATTTTTATTCTTCTAAAACATTTTAGGGGTTTGAGGGGAAACTTTTTTTACATTGAATTTTGATTTCTAAACAATTTATATGAACCTCCGGAGGAATGGTTAACACAAGCCTTAACGGTTGATTGTTCGTTCTACGTTCGTTAACACAAGCCTTCAGCTGGTTGTTCATTCCACTTTCGCTCTTTTCAAAATCTTTCCGTTCCAGAAATTTTCGATTTGTTTTTTTACAATTGTCTAATATATCGCACCAAAAGTTTGGCCCTTTCTTACGTTTATTATACAAACAAACAAAAATTCAAAACAAATATTTTTAATATGTATTGCATAATAAACTTTTAGGGCGCTTTGCGTGATAAATTTAACCCTAAAAATTAAATTTTTAATTCAAAAGTTTGAGAGTGGATGCCATTTAAAAAAATTGGCCCGATCGGTTCAGCCGTTTAGACGTTTCTTGGAAACAAAATGACAAACAAACCAAAAAAAGTTAAATACAAAGATTTATTTCTCGGCAGTAAAAGGGTATTTTGCCCCCCTCCCCCCTCCCCCACATGCAATTCTCTATCTTTATCAGCATGTTCTATCTCTTTCCATCTTTATCCCTCCTTCCTTCCAAGTTTTTCCTCCCTCCTTCCTTCCAAGTTTTCCTCCCTCCTTCCTTCCAAGTTTTCCTCCCTACTTCCTTCCAAGTTTTCCTCCCTTCCTTCCAAGTTTTCCTCCCTCCTTCCTTCCAAGTTTTCCTCCCTCCTTCCTTCCAAGTTTTCCTCCCTCCTTCCTTCCAAGTTTTCCTCCCTACTTCCTTCCAAGTTTTCCTCCCTCCTTCCTTGAAGTTTCCCTCCCTCCTTCCTTCCAAGTTTTCCTCCCTTCTTCCTTCCAATTTTTCCTCCCTCCTTCCTTGAAGTTTCCCTCCCTCCGAACTAATTAATGAAAACTTGAGATAAATCCTGTTTGATGCTCTCTACAAGGATTTATTACAACTAAAGGAATATCACCCTAATTTAATACTTTAAAGGGACAGATTGAGAACCTTGCACTTAAACTTGATTGTCGCTTAAAACTCCTGGTTTTCTTAAAAGGTCTGGGCAATTTGGAAATCAGATGGTTATTTATGCTAACTCAATCTGAATTCAAACCTTTCTATTAGATGTTATACCATCTACTGATATTATAAAGATAACATATTTTAGTTTAGTCTAAATTCTAAACATTAATGAATTTCGCCGTTGATTTTCTGAGCTGTCAATATTTGTCACGGTCACATGGATTTAACGGTTCTGTCAATATTTCAGAAAACTGTGACTTTCGATCACAATTTGACCTCTTTTACATAATCTTATAGCCTGTTATCTTAGATATTTTTTGTTGGCCTATACATTTTGAATGAAAATATAAAATAAACAAATCTGTAAGTCTAAAGACTGTTGAATTATAGACGAAAACACGTTTGATTTCAAATGAAAGAAACCGAATGCTTCTCACTCTCGTTATTTCAGGGTGCGCGGTAATCCTATCTACATCTTCTTAGTTCTATTCTCATTGATAAATTCCATAGATTCCCGCACAACGTTGTGATTCACTCATGGCACTCTAAAATCTACAATTTTATTTTATCATAAATTTTCAACATTTAAATGATTGTGATTTTTTGCTTAACAAATGAACTAACTGAGCCTCTTTGCCACAATCTCAAATTTTAAAATAATTTATATCTTTGCAGCCCAATTTCGTAGACCTTTGATATTTCAAAACATATGGTTTCTGTTACACTAAATAATCTAAGTTTTAAATTTCAAAAGTTTAAACCTTTAGGTTTCAAAGATTTAGGAATTCGAAAATTTGAGTTTGTGACAATGGCTCAATTTCTTTGTTTCTGCTTTCGCAATTTAGTGGCTTTAGCTTTAAAGCAACTTCATGGTTGTATGTTACGGGTAGAGGAGAGGAGAAGATCAAAATCTTCTTTTTTAAATAAGATTTGCACTCGGTCCCTTTTTAATTTCCGTTTATTTTGACATAAATCTTGTCAACGGGGAACAGGGAGGTTCGGACAATATTTATTATATTTATTATTTAATATTTATTATATTTATTATATTTATTATATTTATTATATTTATTCACTCAAAACAGTTTCACAACTTTCAATTCTTCATTTTTCTCGGTCAATAAATGTCCATACATCATACATGCGCTTTGAGCGCTTTTCATCCTTCTTATAAGTTCTTAAGCTTTAATTTTTAATTTGTCTTTTTTGAATGGCCGAATTTAATGTATTTGAGCTGCGTCTCAAATCCGCCAAACACCGGTGTGAATTTAGTCTCAGCTTAAATGTTGAAACATTGAATACAATTTTAAGTGGAAACAATCATATTTGAGCCGCGTTTTAAAATTTAACCCGCGGCTCAAATTTTTTAAATTCGGTCTTTGGCTCATTAAATTTTGACGTAAACTATAAAGATTTTATTTTTAGATAAATTTAGAATTTATGAAAACTTGTTTGTTCAGTTTTCCATGAAAATTGAGAACACTGAATCCCTGAAAATATTTAATATTTTTACAAGAGGATTATATTTAGAGCTAACCACAAAGGTTCTGAAAGGGGTGTATATTTTCTAGAATCCCCTTCCCTACTCCAGGGGAGGTGGGGCGGGGTATTTTTTCTAGAATCCCCCTACTCCAGGAGAAGGGTTGTTTAAGCTTGTAGAGAAATGAAAAATATGACTTAAAGCCCTCACTCAGTATTTTCCAAAATAAAAATATTAATTGTTTTAAACTGTGTAGGGATGACAAACGTTTAGAAATTTTGATTCACCGACATTAGGTCAAACTCGACCTAGGGTCAAATGCCATAGGGTAAAACGACCTATGGTTAAACGACAAACGGACAAAAACGACATAAGGTCTAAAAGTGGGACAAACGGACAAAATTTCATTTAGACTATTTTGGTTAATTTCAAACTGTTTTCATGTTCATTAGAACTAGCCAACGCTAGCCAAATAGCATGTCCTAGCCGCAGCGCTCGGCCCAGAAATTGTCTTAACTTGACCTAACCCTTAAATAATACATAAAATATTTTATTTTTCATTTTGGCCTTTTGTCGTTTTACTCTATGTCGCGTTTTTGACAATTTGTCATTTGACACTATGTCGTTTGACCCTATGGCATTTGACTCTGTCGTTTGACCCTATGTCGGTGAACCCAGTACAGCCGTTTGGCCTTCTATACGCAACGTACATATGAATGTCTTTTTTTGCATATTTTTTCGTCCGATTTTTAAATATATCTATCAATTTTGCTTTTATACTTTAGGATGCTTTGATGGCTTTCCGAGATAAACTAAAAGAACAATTGACATTAATTGAAGCGGCACAGAACTCTAAAAAACCAGGTCCAATTTACATTGATTTAAGGGGGGGGGGGG